TGCTTTTCTGAACACTGAACTAATAGCTTTCTCAAAACAATTATAACAATGTTTATGCTCTTAATTTTTGGTATCCCACTTATCTTTAAGCAGACAGCCAAATAACTTATAAGAAAATGATAGGCAGAACAATTTGAAAAGATGTAAGGGCAGGAAAGGGGGGATTAGGAATGTTGTGGTGCTTCATCTATTACAGGTTCACCTGGGCAGCTGGTGGATGAGCAGAGCCCCCCTCTCCCCCAAATTACCTCCTTAAACCCATTAGAAAAAGAATTAGCTGGGTTAGCTCCAGGCCGGAGTACTTTAAGAGCCCACTTGGGATGAAAGAGTGTTTTACCAAAACTCTAATCATCTTTGCGGAACTCTTTAACCACCAGCAGAAATACCACCAACAACCTAGGAGTTTTCAATGAATATAACCAGGCCTCCAGGCCAGATGTATCTTCCTCCACCAAGAGAGCTCTTAATTGGCATTTGATATCTCAGGTAAAATAACATATTGGATTAGTATAACTCTCCTTTCCTTTACTTCTAACAATACTAATTGCAGGTCTCTGAGAGGCTCTGGCTCAAATCCACATAAGCCTCCCTTGCTTGGTATCTTGCTACACAATCTAGACATATAACGAGACAGGCTTCACAAATGCATGTTATAAAATGTCAGTTTTACCCATCTGAATGTTAAATATGTAAGGTGAAATAATACAACTGTGTGAAATGCCTGAAGGACTTTCACCCAGATTGAAATAACATTTGAATTTTAGTAGTTTTAACCATGAATCCTCAAGTTTTATATAATCTCAAAAGCTATACCATAACTGTAATTTTCCTTGCAAACCATAGGTTTTATATTACTGCTCATAAGTGTACACTGACATATCTAATTGAGGTTCCAAACACAGTATTATTAAATTCACTCTACACATTTCTGTACTGCTTTGTAACAACGACCCTTGAGCTTTGTGCTACTACCCAAAAGTGTGTAACTGGTAACCCAGGTATAAGGTCCTTTAATAATAATAATATAATAATAATAAAAGCAACTTTATTTTTATACCCTGCCTCCATCTCCCTGAAGGGACTCAGAGCGGTTTACAAATGGACATGCCCAACAAAACAGGTTAAAATAAGCACTGAGAAGCAAGCAATATCAAACATCAATAAACATAAAATCAGACAACATTATAAAAATAATTAAAAGCAATATCATGGCTGAGCAAATAAAGTGCTAAACACCCTCAAAACTATGTTTATATCATTTTGCTTCTCAAAGCCCAAGTTTAATGACATCATCTCTTAATGCAGAGATGGGGCAACATGCATAAGATGCTGTAGGGTGTTTGGGGTATTATGGATTTGCTAACATTGCCCTCATCACATATATTAAGAGAATCTCCCTTGCATCTTCCTCTGTTCAGTACTCTTGAAGAACCTCTTTGTGGTCTGAAGGAACAGTTAGCTCTGTTCCTATCCCAACAACATCAAGCAGAATTGAGATGATGCGGTGAGGGTCATATTAAAACCTTCTGAATCCATCAATCAGCTGTTGGTTTGGAGAATGCTTTAACCTCAACTTCCTAATCAGTTACTATAATCAATATCACTGGCATAAGAAGAACGATAAAGCCTGGCGCCTGTCCCAAGGATGATCAGCAACAAGGTGTACCTGTTTGTGCATATAATTCATTTGTGCTGTGCATGCAAGCAAGTACACATGCATGTGTGGCAGGCATATAGCCGGGGGGTGGGGGGGGTGGGGGTGGGTCTTGGGGGGCTTCAGGCCCCCCCCCCAATTCTGATGGTGGTCCGCGAGAAGGCCTTACTGGTACATTATTTAAACTGTTATGTTTATTCATATCATGATCTGATCAACATGCTCAATATATCCATATGCATGGGGGTATTGGGGTAACGATACAAAAGGTTTGCTAGGGTAGACCCTCTTTCACTTGAACTCAGCCCCCCCCCCCCTCAAACTCAGCCCCCCCCCCCCCGAATCAAAATCCTGGCTACGGACCTCATGTGTGGGATGCAGCTTTTAGTGGTTTTCTAGGAGTCCAATGTGTCTCTTAGTCCACCAGAGGTCCTCCCATCCTAACGTTAATCTACAGTGACATATTCAGCTAGAACTTCTAGTTAATGTCTATGAAACCCAGCTCTGAAGACCTATTTTGATATTTTTGAAAATCTATGCCAGAGTTATTTACTAATTTCTACTGTTCTGTGCCACAAAGCTTAAAGGACCACGTTATGTTTGCACGAGGATGAATTAGCTGGGTTAGAACCTTTGCAACTTTGTATGTTGGATGTATTGTCAAAGGCTTTCATGGCCGGAATCACTGGGTTGTTATAGGTTTTTTGGGCTGTATAGCCATGTTCTAGAAGCATTCTCTCCTGACATTTTGCCTGCATCTGTGGCAAGCATCCTCACAACCTCTGAGGATGCTTGCCACAGATGCAGGCAAAACGACAGGAGAGAATGCTTCTAGAACATGGCCATACAGCCCAAAAAACCTACAACAACCTTTTGTATGCTGGCACTGAATATTTGCCATTAGTATGTTGTAAACTGCTTTGAGTCCCCCCAGAAAGGCAGTATATAACTACAGCAAACAAACAAACCAACCAACCAACCATAGGTGCCTTGCTTCACACTGGACTGGGCTTGGAATTTGGGAGTTTTATTTTGCAAAATTTACTCAGAATGAACATGCAGCCAGAGGGGCTTAGACTTACCAGTGAAATCTTCTTGCCTTTCATCACATATATGATGCAAAATGCCAGTTCTGCTTAAAAACTACTGGCATGGATGTCAAGACAAATGTGTAACAAATGGAAACAGCATTAAAAAAACTCTTTCCTCCAGTGTCAAACTATGAGCTTCTACAAGACATAAATAATTACATATAGAAACTTACCCCAAATTGGCCAGACAGTGGAGGCAAGAAAGAGCCATTGAATGAGCAGCTGGAAGAAGGGCAGCCAACACCATTGAAGATGTCCTCAATGCCAATCAGGCACTGTTCATAATCCCCAGTACCCTCAATGAGGAGACTGGTGTAGGATTTAGGGCGGAAACTGCTTGCCGTGCAAGGGTTTTTGCTCAGGTCAATCATATTAATAGTCCTCTCATAGCCTTTGTGGAAACATGGCTCTTGAATTTGGGCAGTGGATGAGCCCTGCATTGTCAACAATAATGATGAGGGAAAAGTCATTAACAATAGCCAGATGAGGAACAAGATGTGGCGAAATTTGGATGTAGGCTGGATTAATACACTATAGATGTATATATGTATGTCTGTATTGAATTATTAACATGTGATGACATGTTAAAGAGAACCCAAACAATATGGTCAATAATTAACTACTTTAGTTATATCTTACCCTTTTCTAAAAACACATGTTATTTGGTGATAAAAATAATTGTTTTAGAAGAAAAACTTAAACCTTGAATGCCACTTCATTTTAAAGTTACTGTGTTTTTGCCCAAGGTAGGAATGGGCAGCTCTGTGGGTACTAGAAGCCAATTTCCCTCTCACAGAAAGCCCAAATATATCTGCTTTCTTCTGCAGTCCTTCTCCTACTCTGCATGTTTTCACACTTCGGAGAGTTTCTGTGTGGTTTAGGGACAAAAAACATTGAATGATGTGGGAGGATGGGGGATTTTGGTTGACTTGTATGTTTGTGGGGTTTTATGAACCATAAACCAGGTTGTGGCGCAGCTAGTTAGTAGCCAGCTGCATTAAATCGCTACTGACTGAGAGGTAATGAGTTCGAAACCAGCCCAGGTCAGAGGGAGTGCCTGGCCATTAATAGTCTAGCTTGCTTTTGACCTATGCAGCCCGAAAGACAGTTGCATCTGTCAAGTGGGAAATTTAGGTACCGCTTTATGCGGGAAAGCTAATTTAATTAATTTACAATACCATAAAACCTTCCAGCAGCATGTGTAAGAATGAGGACGTACTCCATCAAGGACTCAATGTCACAAGTGGATGATGAAGTGGCAGCTCCCCCTGTAGCTGGAATCGAGCATACCCTCATGAAGCCAGAAAGCTGGAATGTTAAATTGCCTCTGTGTCTGTCTATATATGTTGTATGTCTGTATCACTGAATGTTTGCCATCTATATGTGCATTGTAATCCACCCTGAATCCCCTCTGGGGTGAGAAGGGCGGAATATATATACTGTAAATAAAATAAATAAATGATAAATAGAAGGGGTCTAGGGGCTGCATGGAAACCCAACTTTAAATCCCTCCTCAGCCATGGAATATCACTCTGTCAGCTTAACCTGCCTTAGAGAGTTGTTATGAGGATAACTTTCTGTAGATGGGAAGTGGAAGGAGAGAATAATGTATATCATCTCTGAGCCCCTTGGAAAACAAATATATATGTACTAAAATTGTAAAATATTGGAAATGGACATCCAAGATGTCATTAGACTGAGATGAAAATCTGAACTCCCAGTCCAGGAGTAACCAGAAACATTTCAGTCACCCTTCTACTCATGCAGAAATACTTCTTTATTTCTACATGCAGAAGTGTCATTGAAATAGAGCCATGCAGTTCATGGTAAGTGCTGATATCTGCTCATAAAGCATGTGTGAAAAAACAGAAGACTACATTTATTATACTGTGTCTGGATTCAGTGTCAGAGTCAATTGGGTTGAATCCCAGACCTCACCTCTCCCATGAGCTGGCATCTCAAACTTACCTTGACTTCATTCAGTATCTTGAGCCGGAGTGCCTGATCCTTTCCATAACAGAGGAAACTGTGTGTATACACACTATAGGTCTTTCCATACAAATGGAAATTCAACATATATTGAGATGACTCAATGCTGTTCTGGTGTGGCACAAAGGTGATCTGTGTTGAAGCTCCCCCAAGATCCAGAGCCCCTATTGTCCCAGGACGGACAAAGAGACGGGGCAAAAAATTAGGCCAGATAGACTGCAAATAGAACAAACGAGACAGGGAAAAACATCAAGGCCAGAACAATTGATGGAACAGCCAGGTATGAAGCAACACACCACACTTGTATAATTTCGAACAATGATCCAAGTGTGTGAAATCATGTTACATAGACTTGAGCCTTCACTTCCTCAGATTCTTTAAGCAGTGTGTGTCTGTGTGTGTGTATAGTAAAGGTTTCCCCTGATATTAAGTCTAGTCATGTCCAACTCTGGTGGGTGGCGCTCATCAGCATTTCTAAGCTGAAGAGCTGGCGTTGTCCATAGATGCCTCCAAGGTCATGTGGCCAGCATGACCGCATGGAGCACTGTTATTCTCCCACCGAAGTGGTACCTATTGATCTACTCACATTTGTATATTTTCAAAATGCTAAGTTAGCAGAAGCTGGGGCTAACAGAGGGAGCTTACCCCACTCCCCGGATCTGAACCACCAACCTTTTGGTCAGTAAGTTCAGCAGCTCAGCGTTGCTAGCACAAATCACCTTTTGACTATGCTTGGGATACATAATTCACAATGGCTCAATGGAATAAGTCTATCTCCACTCCTCCCCTGAGAACATGAACTTTGTACAATGGTACAATTTAACTTGACACAATTGTAGGTCAGTTTATGACGGCATAACTTCCCAACTGGATGGCAGCCTCTAATTGCGATTTTCCCACAATGTTTGTATATGTTTTACTTTGATTTCATTTCAGATCAACATTTATAGTTTTCCCTCTCCTTGCCTTTGTAACTTGTTTGTCTGTTTGTCTCATTAGTTAGTTTCTGGGATCTCTCACTTCCAACAGAAGACACAGTTTTTAGAGACACAGGAAAGACTTGCTATGGGGAAATGAAGCCAAAGAAATCAGAGGGTTAGAGAGATGTCAATATAGGCAAGGTATGAGGTAGGAAGGAGTACTATGTTGAGGGAAAATGAAGACCATTTAAATCTGAAGTGACAGAAAGTATTCATCAGAATTTTAGAAATCAGCAACAGAGTAGAGACGAATAAAAGACAATAAAATGTGAACCATGACTTGCTAGGAATTACCTTTAGAAAGAATGTATACAAAATAGCTGCACTTTACATTTTTTTTTCCATGTCAGGAGTAACTTGAGAAACTGCAGGTCGCTTCTGGTGTGAGAGAATTGGCATTGCAAGGACATTGTCCAGGGGACATCTGCATCTTTGATGTGTTACCATCCTTATGGGAGGCTTCTCTCATGTCCCTGCATGGGGAGCTGGAGCTGACAGAGGGAGCTTAACCTGCTTCCCCTGGATTTGAACCGCTGACCTGTCAGTCAGCAGTTCTGCTGGCACAAGGGTTTAACCCACTGCGCCATCGTGGGCTCCACTGGTGTTTACATGGTGTTCTACACTGACTCTTGTTTAGTGACACTACCTTGGTCAAAGCCTGAAAACAAAAATTGTGGATCACATATTTCAGTATGCTTTAAGGAATTTCTGAGCACCGTATTCTGAAAAGGTAACTCCCCCAAACTCTGTTATTTGAATACATGTCTTACTAGGATGAGGATGAAGGAGGGATTATTGTGGGATGTATTGTTGAAGGCTTTCATGGCCGGAATCACTGGGTTGCTGTAGGTTTTTTGGGCTGTATGGCCATGTTCTAGAAGCATTTTCTCCTGACGTTTCGCCTGCATCTGTGGCAAGCATCCTCAGAGGTTGTGAGGAACCTCACAACCTCTGAGGATGCTTGCCACAGATGCAGGTGAAACGTCAGGAGAAAATGCTTCTAGAACATGGGCATACAGCCCGAAAAACCTACAGCAATCCATCGTGGGATGTGGTATTGAGTCCCCTTCAGGGTGAGAGAGGGTTGGGTATAAATGCAGTAAATAAATAAATATTGGACTGACAATCAAATGGTTGCTAAGAAGCCAGAGACTGGAGGCAATTCAAATGGGCAGTTCTGAGCACTATCAATTGAAAAGACAATATGCAGCTGTTCCATCTCTAGCCCCCATCCTTTCCCCTTCTCCCCAACATTTCATATAAAGGAAAAAGACAAAGGAAAACCCCACGAGAAGAGTTACAAATGGAAAATGTCATTTGGACCACACAAACTCATAAATTTCAAAGAACAACGTAGGTCGGCTACGCAATAAAAGCCTCCCCGGGAAGCACTCTCAGATCCAAATTGTACTTTTGTCCCTTGTAATGTGATGTTGTTTTCCATCATGACCAGCTGCCGCTGCCGGCTTTTCCTTTTACAAGCTTAAGGAAAAAACAGGAGCCAGGTAAACAGTCTGAAAGGGCTGCCATTCTGATAATGACATTGACCATGAGAAAAGTTCATGATGTCAGGAACAATGTAGCTTTTAAAGGCACATCACAAAAGCCAAGACCTGCTGAAAGATTTTAACTGAGTGTGTCGGGCTGACTGTTCCTCTACTGTACCCTTTTCTATAAAGCTGGATATCAGAGGAAATGTTTTAGTGTGTCTTTGTGTAAAGACAAAAGCTAGTTGGCAAGGACATTTTATTTGCAGTCACAGCAATTAGTACTTTAAATAGTAGCAACATTTTTTTAATTTATGTTTGCCAAGATCCTGCTTTGGGTACTTAGTTATAAATGAGTAACTAAGTAACATCTCCCAGCCTGGCCCCTCAAACCTATCTTCATATCCAGCAGTCACATTGAGTGATTGATGTCTGCCTTCTTCTTCTTCTGTCTTTTTCTGCTGTGCTCTGATAACGGATCTTCAGCACTTGATGCAACTCCTTAATGTTGGTATAGGTTTGGAAGAGCTTTCATATTTGTGCCAATACAGCCATGGCTGTGAATACATAATATTATGGAATACAGAACAGCTACAGATCCATAACACAAGGTTACAAATCTGTAACTGCAATACAGGTGCCAACTGTTATTTATAATCTACCTTTCATCCAGCATGGGACACAAATGTGATACCCCGGCAACTGGAAAAACAGGAAAAATAAAGATATGTGGATATTCCACATTGAATTGTGCCAACCTGTAACACACCTTGAGTCGCCATATGGCTGAGAAAGGCAGCCTATAAATATTGTAAATAAATAAATAAATAAGAAATGATTCAGATTGCATTTTCCATACACAGAATAGTATATAATAGTCCAGAGAATAGATAACAAGATAGTAAATAGAGTTGACTTCCATCTAGGCGTAAGTGGTGCTCACTTTTACTTGTGATAGTGTTGAGGAAAGCTGTGTTCACTGGGTATTCAAAGAATAATAGAGCTACGATGGCACAATGGGTTAAATCCTTGTGGTACTGAACTGCCAACCTGAAGGCTGGTAGTTCAAATCCTTTGGACAGGGTGATCTCCTGCTGTTAGCCCTAGCTCCTGCCAACCTAGCAGTTCAAAAACATGCAAATGTGAGTAGATCAACAGGTACTGCCTCAGCAGGAAGGCAAACAGGCGCTCCAAGCAGTCATGCCAGCCACATGACCAGGAGGTGTCTATGAACAATGCAGGCTCCTTGGTTTGGAAATGGAGATCAACATCACCCCCATAGTCAGAGTTGAGCACGGCCTCCAGAAGATGGAGATGAAAGGGGAAGCCCTTGCCTTTGTCTGAGAATTTCTGTCTCACTATATCAAGGCATTGAATGTCTGCCTGTATTTGTGTTTGTATATCTTCAGTAATCCGCTCTGAGTCCCCTTGGGGAGATAGGGCGGAATATAAATAAAGTGTTGTTGTTGTTGTTTAGTGCCTATCATCTGGTATTCTTCAATACTGTGCACATCTTTATTGGATTAGCTGATTATTCATTAACAACCACGGCAATCTTTCACCATTGCTGTTCCACAGAACATCTGTGCACCTTTGAAATGCTATAAAACTCTTGTTTTTTATGCAGCACGCTAACATGGCAATCTTTCCAGAACATGTTAGCATTTGTTACATTTGCACAGAACTCAGTTATTTTTGAGTGATAGTTCCCAAAACCCCCCAACTTATATAGTCAGCCAGTCCAAAAGCTTTTCCAAGTTCCACATTTTTAACAACAAAGACCACAAGAACCATGACACTGCTTGGTTTCCAAGAGCAGCATTCCCCCCCCTCCCCAAAATAGCACATTACCTCTTTGAAATTTCCCAGTAGGTAATTTAGAGTGATCCAGCCATAGGCACCTTCTTCCTCACCACTTAAGATCCTGGCCCCACGGAAGTTGAAGGGGTATGAGCGTAATGTTGCCTCTACCCCGGAGAGGACATCTTTAGCAGTACTTGCATTCTCCATCCTGCATGTTGAAAAGATGGATGGGAAAATGACATAGAATGCCCAACTACTTAAGGGCTACTTCAGACTATCATTTCCTTTTTTCATAAAATCACAGAATCGTAGAGTTAGAGGAGACTACACAAGCCATCCAGTCCAATCCCCTGCCATGCAGGAACACACAATCAAAGCATTCCAACAGATGGCCATCCACCCTCTGCTTTGAAACATACAGACAGAAGCAGCATACTGCACTGTTGAACAGTTCTTATGGTCAGGAAGTTTTCTCTTTTGCTTTTCGAAAGTGGAAATTGGCCAAAAAATGATATATGGTCTGGTTTGCTGTGAGTTTTCTGGGCTGTATGGCCATGTTTCAGAAGCATTCTCTCCTGACATTTCACCCACATCTATAGCAGGCATCCTTAGAGGCTGCCTGCTATTAGGCACAGACACAGACTTCCCATCGCTGCCAACCCCCAAACATCCTTTCAAACCCCCCCCCCCATGAACTCAACCCCTGTGACCATGATTTTTCAAAGAAAGCACAGATTGTATTCTACTTTGGTACCTCAGCAACCGCATGCCAGCTGTTGCACCCAGGTAAACAGGTGTGTCAYGATGCTTTCTCTGTGGCACTATCTCYTTTGCCTTATCCATGCAGTGCTTTARGGAAGGACCAGCRTTTCCCACATCACTGGCATAGCCTGAAATTCCTGGACCTAGGTAGAAAAACAGGAGCATGATGACCAGTTTCAGCCCAGAGTTAAATATGTTAAGCATTATAAATATCCAAATTCTTAATCAGTATTTCAGCACTCTAAAGCAGATTTGGACAATTTATAGTTCTCCTAATGTTTTTGACTTTAATTCCCACCCATGCTATCCAGCATAGGTTAGAGAACAACAGAAGCTGCAATTAGACAGCAACTGGAGTGCCATAATTAGTCTCAGAGTTGATTTTTTTCTATTTTTTTTCTCGAGTCAAGAGTGACTTGAGAAACTGCAAGTCACTTCTGGTGTGAGAGAATTGGCTGTCTGCAAGGATGTTGCCCAGAAGTCACCGGATGTTTRATGTTTTACCATCCTTGTGGGAGGCTTCTCTCGTGTCCCCAGATGGGAAGCTGGAGCTGACAGAGGGAGCTCATCCGCACTCTCCCCAGATTCGAACCGCTGGCTTATTGGTCAGCAGTCCTGCCAGCACAAAGGCTTAACCCATTGTGCCACCGGGGGCTCTTTTTTTCCATTGATCCTGGAACTGTATCTATATTTCTGCCCCTTAGATACAATTGTTTCATTCTTTCCTGGGAACTTGCCATGAACTAACTCAGGGACCAGTTCAGGGACCACCACTCTGAGTAGCTCTCCTAGGCAGTGTAACAAAACCACAAAGAATATTTTAAAACAAGAATAACAAAACAAATGAAGGTAATGTTCAGCGTTACTATGGATAACAAAAGGCATATATTCAGAACCAAACAGAATGCTACAGCGTACAATCAATAAGAAAATATACATGGAACAATGACAACATTTGTACTAATTTGAACTTATTTGTTGCATTATTTTTACAACACGAATGAAATATTGAGCGGGGTCACAACTGAGATGTGAGACCATTGCTTTCACTGTAGATAGGGAATGACTCTTGTGTTTTCCCTCAGTTCTACTATCACATCATCCCTCTCATACTAGAATCAGCTCTAAAGAGACCCATTTTCTTACCTTCTACTTCACACACATCTACCTGCTGAACCACTCCGGTGTCATTTTCTTTCTCTGCTGGCCATTTGTATATATACATATTGGTATGAGAAGAACCAGCATCCAGCACAATCCCATACTGCAAAAGAAACAAATTCACTGTTTCACTCTAAAAAAAACAGCCTTATTTAAGGGATTTATTTATTTTGTGTCAAAAGCATTGCAGAAATAAAACAGATATAAAACTGATAAAATAGAGGGAGCACAAGCAGCTAAATAATTTTAGACCAAAAACGGACAACAGCAACTGCATTGTCTGTAGCGTTCTTCCTCTGTGCATAAGGCAGAGTAATGTGGACAAGCATACAGATGCTGAGCTGTTCGTTCTGCTCCACAGTCTCACAAGGTGGAGGATTCTTCAAAGTAGTGCCATTTTGCCAAGTTGTCTTTTGATCTGCCCACTCCATTTCCGAATCTGTTCAGGGACTTCCAAGTTTCTCATTCTTGGTTTTCCCCTGGAAGAAGACCCTTGTCGGGGGGGGGGGGCTACTTTTGCTGTTGCTGGGGGAACATTAAGAGGAGGGATAGTTCTCATTGAAATTTTCTTTGATTTAAATCTACTAGGAGGAGGCTGACAGTCATGCAGTGAATGGCTTTCACAATGTTCAACCTTATTTCTTTCACAGTTAGCAGCAACTTTGCATCGCACCTCATATTGGGGGGGACGGGGACGGACTGATAGCTAGCTTATAGGGTCTATCAACAGGTGTAGGTTTGAGACATCATGTGATTATTCTACATATTTCGTACAATGCTATATTCACCTGCTTTGCATGGGCAGACTTGTGCCAAACAGGGCAGGCATACTCAGGGGAAATTCAGGGGATGAGATGGGAGACGTACTTCCATTTAGGGAATTATTCATCAATTATTTCATGTAGGTTCCCGGCACAATTCAGCTTGACTGGGTTTCCCTTTTAAAGCCAGACTAATACTGTTTTGTTTTGTTTTCTCACTTCATGCAACCAATATTGAATCTTGGAAGATATTAATTGTATTCTTTTATATTTAAATACTAAGTATGAAGTCATCATCCTTAATCAGACTAAAAAATATGGCTCCCATCCCAAACTGGGACTTTTTAAATCAGTGGTTCTTAATTTGTGGGTCCCCAGGTGTTTTAGCCTACAACTCCCAGAAATCCCAGCCAGATTACCAGCTGTTAGGATTTCTAGGAGTTGAAGGTAAAAACATCTGGGGACCCACAGGTTGAGAGCCACTTTTTAAATGCTAGGATTTCCTATCCATATATTTATTTTTTTTACTAGCTGTCCCCTGCCACATGTTGCTGTGGCCCAGTCTGGTGATCTGAAAAATAAAGTAATGAGAAAATGTTGGTTTCTAGTATATGCAATGTCTTCATGCTTGTGGGTAAACAGTATTTCTTCTTGTTTCTTTGTCAGTGTTGATGTGGAGAGTGTCTGGTTTGCCTACTCTAGAATATGCAACATATAATTGTCCTTCTTAAGGGGTCCCTTTCAAATCTTTAATACTATCTCTCTGTGAATTATATCTATCTATCTATATCTATGGCTGGATGGCTCTTTGTCAGGAGGGCTCTGATTACCTTTTCTTGCCCCGGTGAAGGGAGTTGGACTAAATGGCCTTAAGTATTTTCTGTTGGTCATGGGGGTTCTATGTAGGAAATTTGCCCAAATTCTGTCATTTGTGGGATTCAGAATGCTCTTTGATTGTAGGTGAACTATAAATTCCAGTAACTACAAATTCCAAATGTCAAGGTCTATTTCCCCCACACTCCATCTGTGTTCATATTTGGGCATATGGAATATTTGTGCCAAGTTTGGTCCAGATTCTTCATTGAGTCCACAGTGCTCTCTGGATGTAGGTGAACTACAACTCCCAAACTCAAGGGCAATGCCCATGAAACCCTTCTAGTGTTTTCTGTTGATCATGGGATTTCTGTGTCCCAAGATTGGTTCAATTCCATCATTGATGGAGTTCAGAATGCTCTTTGATTGTAGGTGAACTTTAAATCCCAGCAACTACAACTCCCAAATTACAAAATCAATTTTTTGAGTAAAGGATATACATTGGGTTGTTAGGTGTCTTGTGTCCAAATTTGGTGTCAATTTGTCCAATGGTTTTTGAGTTCTGTTAATCCCACAAACGAACATTACATTTTTATTTATATAGATTCCAAACTAGGTTTCAAATGCATAGAACACAAAAACCTCACATCTACGTTGAGAAACAGTGGTTGGTTTTTGAAACAGACCCTCCTCGTAAATAGAAAGAGAGAAGGCTCATTTGACCCTTTCCAAATACAATACCTTCCCCATTAAGGTTTATTGGAGAAGTTGCTTTGAAATGCGAGCTTTTGGATTTCAGCCTTTTTGAACCTCTTCCTCCATTAGAAATAGGTACGTTAGGTTCTTGTGGGTTTTTTCGGGCTATAGGGCCATGTTCTAGAGGCATTTTTCCTGACGTTTCGCCTGCATCTATGGCAAGCATCCTCAGAGGTAGTGAGGTCTGTTGGAAATAGGACAATGGGTTTATATATCTGTGGAATGGCTGGGGTGGGGCACAGAGCTCTTCTCTGCTGGAGCTAGGTGTGAATGTTTCAGCTGATCACCTTCATTAGCATTTGAAGGCCTGCCTGAGCCTGGGAAAACCTTTTGTTGAGAGGTGTTAAGATGTGCCTGGTTGTTTCCTCTCTGCTCTTTTGCTGTTGTAATTTTAGAGTTTTTTAATACTGGTAGCCAGATTTTGTTCATTTTCATGGGTACGTTGTTTTTGAAGGCAGTGAGGGAATGAACAGCATCAACATTAAACCTTTCTAGGCTTCTCTTGTGCATGAACACTGCAGACAAAGGGAAGGATGACTGCAGGATGGAACCACTCAATTCCAGCAGGAGATCCCTCTACAACCTACTTTACTATTCCTTGTCGAAGGATGGTTCTGTGAAACAGCCACGGCAATTAAAGCAATCACAGCTCCCACGAAGAGAAATCCTGTGATGATGTACTTGGGACGGCAACCCTTCCTCAGCTTGCTACCTGCAAGTACAGCAAAGAAGAGATGGTATTAGAACAAAACCCAAATAGCATAGCACTTTTCATAAATTGATTGTCAAGACTTGATTGTCTAGCATATAATCTCAAGGTGCTACTCCACAGAAAAGATGCAAAGCTTCAGTAAAGCAATCTCCCTTTGATGCTAAAGCCTGGCCCAACAAAACTGCCAGGGATCGGTTGCTATTCATCACTCTACTTTTGTCCAGATGTTAGATCTCAGCTCAGCAGCCCAACTGACTCCTCTCTCTCTCTCTGCATTTATTTTTGGTCTATTTGGAGGGGCTATTCCTGGACCGATATACAGCTGGAGTTCTGAAGTTTCACAACAAACCAATTCTGACCTCAGCTTCAGCCTGATTATATTGTTGCCAGCATTTGGAGATGAATTACGTAGTTCTGCCAAAAGAACTTTGAGGGGTCAAAAAGCATTCAACAATAAGAGTGCTGTAAAGCCATGGTTTGTTTTTGTTAAAGGAATTCATAATAGGCTAACTCTAGCTATGTTGCCTACTTTATTATTTTCATATTTTAATGTTTTAATGCTTGTTGATGTATTGTTTTAATTGTTTTAATTGTGATTTATGTTTAATTGTGGTTTTACTACTGTAATTTTATTGGCATTGTATCGGTGCCCAACATAAGGCATTGAATCTTTTCTGTGGAGTAGCCTCAGGGGTGAGAAAGGCGGTATATAAATACTGTAAATAAATAAATAAATAATCAAAAGATATAACCAGAACTCATTAGCAGCATCCTTTGAGCTCTATTCTAAAGATGCAAAGAATTGTTTCCTTTTCTTGCTTCTCTCCCATGGCAACATCTCTGATGTAAAGGCTGTTGTTTTCTCATTCAGCATCAGCTAGTGTTAAGCAATAAAAGACGAAAAAAGCCTTTGGGTGTAATCTAAGTGCTTCCTTCTGTCACCCTGAAGAGCTATAAAGTAATCTTAATGGGTCTATTATATGGAGCCCCTGGTGGCACAGTGGGTTAAACCACTGAGCTGCTGAGCTTGTTGACTGAAAGGTCGCAGGTTCAAATCCGGGGAGTGGTGTGAGCTTCCGCTGTCACCCCCAGCTTCTGCCAACCTAGCAGTTTGAAAACATGCAAATGTATGTAGATCAATAGGTACCCCTCAGGTGGGAAGGTAATGACACTCCATGCAGTCATGCCGGCCACATGACCTTGGAAGTGTCTACGGACAACGCCGGCTCTCTGGCTTAGAAATGGAGATGAGCACCACACTGCAGAGTCGGACACGATGGACTTAATGTCAGGAGAAAACCTTTACCTATCTGTATGAAGAATGGGGGAAAGGACTGCAGGACATATGCCCCTGTTGTTTTTGTTTTTAATCTAGCAAGGTAGTGTCATCCTGCACAACATGTGAAGCTATTGGCTGAAGAAATTTGTAGCATCAAATTAGAGCTCATAAAATGAAACTTCTGAACAATAACTCTTGTGATGACTAGGAGATTATGGGATCTAAAAAACAGAACATTTCCAAGATCTGTAGCAAATAAGCATTTAATCCTAAGGAGTCTAAAAGGAATGAGCAATGTCTTTACAGCCTTTCCCTCCTTCTCCATCATCAACATCATCATCATCTGAGAAGAGAGCTAAAATCTATTTTTGTTCTGGAAACAGAACATTACTGGCAGAAAATGGCAATTAACAGTGTGCCTAGAAAGGCCCCGAAATGGGACAACTGAATGAAATCAGGACTCTTGAGCAAAGGGAAATCCCGGAATGGCAGAGAGCCACCCCCTCCATGGCTGCTCAACAAAGTAGGAGGCAAATGGGCAGGAAGCCTAGGAGGAGGAAGAGTACTGTAGCTTCACATCAACAGCCCCTCTCCTGCTGTGTCCAGCTGGCTCAAACTAAATCAATTCACCCCGAGCAGACAATATCCATGATGGGATTTTTGGATGGGGGTGTGTGTCTAATTTATTTCTAGCTATTGGTGTCAGCTCCTGACAGTGTGTTGCCACTTCAGGATTACTATTCCTCACAATTAGTTACGTACAGCTTAGAGTTACTTTCTTGAATCAGAAGTCCTAGAGTTCCCCAGCCAGCTCAGCCAAATGAATGCCTTCTAAAATAATATTATTCTTCTGATACTTTTAAAAATAGATTTTAAGACTTAAGCATAACCATTACAAGGCAGATCACTCACGCAATTTATCATCACCATGGCTCTTAACATTATCAACAAAGCTTACGTTTGTACTCCATGGTTACAATCCTACATGGTTCGGCACTGCATAGTTCTGTATGAAGGACTACATAACATATCAGCTCTAGGAACCTATCACTGAAGCCCCCTGCCCTTTCCACACAGAGCAGGGGAAAATCACGGAAGCATGTTGCCATGTCCCCACAAAGGGATTACAGTCAGCTGCTCACATTTGCAGGTTTGACATTTGCAAAATTGATTAAAATGTTATCTCTAGGAATCTTTAGGGCTTCCAGTGCATGTTTTTATTATTCACCCCTAATTCCGGGAAACATGGAGGATTAATCTGCCAAAACCCCTGGAAGTCTCAGCTGTATTTAATCATTCCATGCCTGGCTTTGGGGAGTCTTTGCAGAGTCTGATGTGGAGGGAAGAATACCAACCTCTGCAATGACCAAACATAGACATATGCTGGATTGTGTACACTACTAGAAGGATGACAGCCCAAATTTGGAAAGAACTGAATAAGAATAAATATATGGCAGAAAAACTACAACCTGTATTATGATCATCATGTGACATTTCAATCCGTGCTCATGATTCTGAAACCCATTTTTTTTTATTTTGGTAATTTCTATGCCGCCTTTCTCCTGGCAGACTCAACGCTTCATCATATATGAGTCATGCTCTCAAGTGGGCTCACTTCCCACACAGCTGATTTACAGAGCTTGGACATTTTTTGGCTCAAGATCCCCACAACAATTTTTGTGTTGCTTTTTCCTCTGCACGTGTTACAAAAAAAACCACACCTTGGGGCAGTGGTTCTCAACTGTGGCTCCCCAGGTGTTTTGGCCTACAACTCTCAGAAATCCCAGCTGTTAGGATTTCTAGGAGTTGAAGGCCAAAACATCTGGGGACCCACAGGTTGAGAACCATTGCCTTGGGAGATCATGTGCCAATTTGCTCTGGATTCCACAGAAACCATTGACCTTAAATACTCTTCCTTCCTGGGCTTCAGGAGTCAGGTGGGGAACATGAAAAGATCCAGAGTTTAAGAGGAAGAAAGATGCCAAAGAGGTAAAGTCATTTTCTTCCCTTGATAGAACATCTTGAGCAATAGTAAAGTTTAGAACATTGGCAAAGCAAAGACCTGAGGGGCAAAAGGCTGAGACTGGAATTGCAAAGAGGTACGTTTTCCTCCCTTGGAGCGTAGTATGTGTGACAAGTCAGCTGTTTCATGCCCTGAGACTGCAAATGTCCCTGCAGCAAAGGAGCTACCAGGGGCTGAGTCCATGCATCCCCCTTTCCCACACACCCCGGAAGTGAGCACAAAGAGGCTCTGTGCGCTGACTGTGGAATCCCAGCTTTTCTATTAGTTTTGGCAGTGAGCCGGGTGGTTTATTTCTGGCAAAATGTCGTCAGGGAGGTTACAGACAGGAATTCCCTGCGACCCAGCCAGCTCGGCCTGACAATTCCCCCATTCACCCGCATCAACACCAAGCACATTCCTTCCATCTGGAGACAATCCCACTAAACTCGGTGCTTGTTTCAACAATGCAAAGATCAGCTCCCAGCTGCATTACATCCTCTAAGGCACTGCTTCTTAAACTGTGGGTCCCGACCCCAAATGGGGTTCCCTTAGCTCAATGTTGGGGTCATGAAAAAATTGGCTATAGTAAAAGGTTTCTGAATGCTACTCAGACATTTACATACATCTGTTAGAAACAAAATGTGGTGTTTACAGTAAACTCTACAGAAAATGCTTCAGCTGTACTCCATAAAAAAGGAAAATCAGCCTGCTTAGCAAAGCCTTGCAAATGCGGATTTATTATCAGTAAATGTTAGATCTGTATATCTATTTTATACCTATTCATTTGGGGCCACATACAAAAATTTCAGGCCGGCAGAAAGTGGAAAACATTTCAGAAACCATACTGAGACCCCACTCATAATCTTCATTCCCATATAGGAGCACTACCAAAGGTAATTTCAGCACCTGCCAGTCATGTAGAAACATCTTGGAGCTGGGGGAAAATACCCAACTACTACAACTTCCAAAATACTACAGTCATGTTGGGAGCTATCTCCTCAAAAGACAATTTCTCAGAGTATCCACAGTGAATACATTATAAGAGGAAGGTGTATTCGTCTTTGGTAATAGTAGAATAATTCCTGTTGACTTCAATTGGTGGAGGATTTTACCACTGGTTTTGTAATTCCTGTTTTGTTTACTGCAGAGTTGGGGAAAATGTAGCCTCTTGAATGTTATTAGGCAGACATTTTCATCAGGTTTCAGCAGCCAAGGAATGCTGGGAGTTGCAATTCAACAATATCTGTATGGCCATGCTTTGCCTGCCTCAGTTTGGATCTACACTGCCATATAATCCAGTTTCCGAATGCAGATTATCTGTTTTAAACCGGTTTATATGAGTCTACACCACCATATAATCCAGTTGAAAGCAGATAATCTAGATTCAGAAACTGGATTATATGGCAGTGAAGCTGGAACCTTACTTTCCAGGAATACTCTCTGCAACTGAGAAAAGATATAGCAATATAGCAACTAATCTAAATGCCTTTTTAAAAAGGTGCTTGGTAAACCCATGAAGAAGAAAGAAAATTGAATAACACCTTTGTGGTAAACATCAAATAAAGGAGGGCAGTTTTGATAGGAAATTGGCATAGCCTTGATCATATCAGAAGCATGTTTATCTTATAACGTAAGCATGCTTCAGGTATCTTTGCTTGCCACATAAAATCCGTTAATGGAAAAAGACAGTGCAGCTGCACAATGCACTTGAATGAGGAA